CGCTCAAACTTTTGAAATTTTGTATGGCCCAAAAATGTTATTTCACTTAACGAAAGATCAGTCCTTGCTAAAAACGTTGGTATAATGTTCATGTTCTAATTCGAGGTATCAGTGGCGATATATGGATTTTAATCGGATGTAGTCTAAAGTTGCGTAAAACAAGCGACAAGTTGAAAAATCGATAAAATATTCAAATCTAGATCAAATTCGACTTTGAGGGCTGCTAGTTGTACGTTAGTGTTTGTATTTTATGAAAAATAAGTTTAAATGTGCAGTACTTTTGATTTACCAGCGTAAACAAACTCAATCTGAAGTAGTTTGTATCGCCCTAAAAATAGGCCCGTCAGCCGTGAAAACACAAATATCGACTTCTCGTTATAAATATTTTTCGAATCAAAGTTAAACACATATTTATATTATCAGGTCCAACTAACTTACATTTTGACAAAGTTTGAGCAATTTTGATTTTTCACGTTCTGCACGACATAGGCGATATTTACAGACAGCCTCTCTTAACCAGCTATTTGGAAAGGACATCACACTTCGAAGTAGGTTCTTAAGAAATACAGTATCTGCCGAAATAGGTCAGATGGGGGAGCGTCAGACTGAAGAGCTGAAGGTCCCTGATTCAATCGCGTGTTTCGGCAAAACGACTTTCCTAAATTATCTCACTCTTTATTAACGATACTAAGATAATTACTAAGAAGTTTACGATCTTATTGACGCATGAGATTCCCAATCTCCATCCCGCCCGGTTAGCTCAGTTGGTAGAGCATCAGACTTTTAATCGGAGGGCCATGGGTTCGAGTCCCATATCAGGCTCAAGACAGACTGGATTATTATTTTCGGGGTTTCTGCAAATATAACAAGCTATTTGGAAAGAACTACACACTTCGAAGTACGTTCTTAAGAGATACAGAACCTGCCGAAATACCTCAGATGAGAGATCGTCAGAGTGAAGAGCTGACGGTCCCTGATTCAATCCCGGGTTTCGACAAAAGGAGTTCCTAAATTATCTGACTTTTTTAATGACACTAAGATAATTACTAAGAAGATCTCGATCTCATTGACGCATGAGATTCCCAACCTCCGTGCTGCCCAGTTAACTCAGTTGGTAAAGCATCAGACTTTTAATCTGAGGGCCATCGGTTCGAGTCCCATATCGGGCTCAAGAAAGACCGCATTATAAATTTCGGGGTTTCTGCAAATATAACAAGCTATTTGGAAAGGACTACACATTCTGAAGTACGATCTTTAGAGATATCGTACCTGTCGAAATAGCTCAGAAAGGAGAGCGTCAGACTGAAGATCTGAAGGTCCCTGATTCAATCCCGGGTTTCGGCAAAAGGAAGTTCCTAAATTATCTGACTTTTTTTTAATGACACTAAGATAATTACTAAGAAGATCACTACCTCATTGACGCATGAGATTCCCAACCTCCGTGCTGCCTGGTTAGCTCACTTGGTAGATCATCAGGCTTTTAATCTGAGGGCCATGGATTCGAGTCCCATATCGGGCTCAAGAAAGACTGCATTATAATTTTCAGGGTTGCTGCAAATTTAACAAGCTATTTGGAAAGGACATCACATTCGGAAGTACGATCTTAAGAGATATTCTACCTGCCGAAATAGCTCAGAAGGGAGAGCGTCAGACTGAAGATCTGAAGGTCCCTGGTTCCCGGGTTTCGGCAAAACGACGTTCCTAAATTATCTAACTTTTGTTAATGACACTAAGATAATTACTGAGAAGATCACGATCTTATTGACGCATGAGTTTCCCAACCTCCGTGCTGCCCGGTTAGCTCACTTGGTAGATCATCAGGCTTTTAATCTGAGGGCCATGGGTTCGAGTCCCATATCGGGCTCAAGAAAGACAGCTTTATGATTTTCGAGGTTTCTGCAAATTTAAAAAGCTATTTGGAAAGGACATCACACTGTGAAGTACGATCTTAAAAGATATTGTACCTGCCGAAATAGCTCAGAAGGGAGAGCGTCAGACTGAAGATCTGAAGGTCCCTGGTTCAATCCCGGGTTTCGGCAAAAAGACGTTCCTAAATTATCTGACTTTTCTTAATGACACTAAGATAATTACTAAGAAGATCACGATCTTATTGACGCATGAATTTCCCAACCTCCGTGCTGCCCGGTTAGCTCAGTTGGTAGAGCATCAGACTTTTAATCTGAGGGCCATGGGTTCGAGTCGCATATCGGGCTCAAGAACGACTGCATTATCATTTTCGGGGTTTCTGCAAATTTAACCATGGGTTCGAGGTCTCATATCGGGCTCAAGAAAGACAGCATTACAATTTTCGCGGTTTCTGCGAATTTAACAAGCTATTTGGAAAGGACATAATACTCTGAAGTACGATCTTAAGAGATATTGTACCTGCCGAAATAGCTCAGAAGGGAGAGCGTCAGACTGAAGATCTGAAGGTCCCTGGTTCAATTCCGGGCTTCGGCAAAACGACGTTCCTTAATTATCTGACTTTTTTTAATGAAACTAAGATAATTACTAAGAAGATCACGATCTTATTGACGCATGAGATTCCCAACCTCCGTACTGCCCGGTTATCTCAGTCGGTAGAGCATCAGATTTTCAATCTGAGGGCCATGGGTTCGACACCCATAACGGGCTCAAGAAAGACAGCATTGCCATTTGCGGGGTTTCTGCAAATATAACAAGCTATTTGGAAAGGACTACACACTTCAAAGTAGGTTCTTAAGAAATACAGCATCTGTCGAAATAGGTCTGATGGGGGAGCGTCAGACTGAAGAGCTGAAGGTACTTGATTCAATCGCGTGTTTCGGCAAAACGACTTTCCTAAATTATCTCACTTTTTTTTAATGATACTAAGATAATTACTAAGAAGATCACGATCTTATTGACGCATGAGATTCCCAACCTCCGTGCTGCCCGGTAAGCTCAGTTGCTAGAGGATCAGACTTTTAATCTTAGGGCCATGGATCCGAGACCCATATCGGGCTCCAGAAAGACTGCATTGTCATTTTCGGGGTTTTGCAAATATAACAAGCTATTTGGAAAGAGTACTACACACTCTGAAGTACGATCTTAAGAGATATTGTACATGCCGAAATCGCTCAGAAGGGAGAGCGTCAGGCTGAAGATCTGAAGGTACCTGGTTCAATCCCGGGTTTCGGCAAAACGAGGTTCCTAAATTATCTCCCTTTTTTTTAATGATACTAAGATAATTACTAAGAAGATCACGATCTTATTGACGCATGAGATTCCCAACCTCCGTACTGCCCGGTTAGCTCAGTTGGTAGAGCATCAGACTTTTAATCTGAGGGCCATGGGTTCCAGTCCCATATCGGGCTCAAGAGAGACTGCATTATCATTTTCGGGGTTTCTGCAAATTTAACCAGCTATTTGGAAGGACATCACACTTCGAAGTAGGTTCTTAAGAAATACAGTATCTGCCGAAATAGATCAGATGTAAGAGCGTCAGACTGAAGATCTGAAGCTCCCTGGTTCAATAACGGGTTTCGGCAAAACGACGTTGCTAAATTATCTGACTTTTTTTCATGACTCTAAGAAAATTACTAAGAAGATCACGATCTTATTGACGCATGAGATTCCCAACCTTCGTGCTGCCCGGTTATCTCAGTCGGTAGAGCATCAGACTTTTAATCTGAGGGCCATGGGTGCGACACCCATAACGGGCTCAAGAAAGACTGCATTGCCATTTGCGGGGTTTCTGCAAATATAACAAGCTATTTGGAAAGGACACACACTTCAAAGTAGGTTCTTAAGAAATACAGTATTTGTCAAAATAGGTCACGTGGGGGAGCGTCAGACTGAAGATCTGAAGGTCCCTGGTTCAATCGCGTGTTTCGGCAAAACGACTTTCCTAAATTATCTCCCTTTTTTTTAATGATACTAAGATAATTACTAAGAAGATCACGATCTTATTGACGCATGAGATTCCCAACCTCCGTACTGCCCGGTTAGCTCAGTTGGTAGAGCATCAGACTTTTAATCTGAGGGCCATGGGTTCCAGTCCCATATCGGGCTCAAGAGAGACTGCATTATCATTTTCGGGGTTTCTGCAAATTTAACCAGCTATTTGGAAGGACATCACACTTCGAAGTAGGTTCTTAAGAAATACAGTATCTGCCGAAATAGATCAGATGTAAGAGCGTCAGACTGAAGATCTGAAGCTCCCTGGTTCAATAACGGGTTTCGGCAAAACGACGTTGCTAAATTATCTGACTTTTTTTCATGACTCTAAGAAAATTACTAAGAAGATCACGATCTTATTGACGCATGAGATTCCCAACCTTCGTGCTGCTCGGTTAGCTCAGTTGGTAGAGACTCAGACTTTTAATCTGAGAGCCATGGGTTCGAGTCCCATATCGGACTCAAGAAAGACAGCTTTATAATTTTCGTGGTTTCTGCAAATTTAACCAGCTATTTGGAAAGGACATCACAGTTCGATTCTTAAGAAATAGAGTACCTGCCGAAATCGCTCAGAAGGGAGAGCGTCAGGCTGAAGATCTGAAGGTACCTGCTTCAATCCCGGGTTTCTGCAAAACGACTTTCCTAAATTATCTGAATTTTTTTGAAGATACTAAGATAATTACTAAGAAGATCACGATCTTATTGATGCATGAGATTCCGAACCTCCGTGTTGCCCGGTTAGCTCAGTTGGTGGAGCATCAGACTTTTAATCTGAGGGCCATGGGTTCGAGTCCCATATCGGGCTCAAGAAAGACTGCATTATCATTTTCGGTGATTCTTCAAATTTAACAAACTATTTGGAAACGACAACACACTTCGAAGTGAGTTCTTAAGAAATACAGTATCTGCCGAAATAGCTCAGAAGGGAGAGCGTCAGACTGAAGATCTGAAGGTCCCTGGTTCAATCCCGGGTTTCGGCAAAACGGCTTTCCTAAATTATGTGATTTTTTCTTAACGATACTAAGATAATCACTAAGAAGATCACGATCTTCTTGACGCATGAGATTCCCAACCGCCGTGCTGCCCGGTTAGCTCTGTTGGTAGAACATCGGACTTTTAATATGAGGGCCATGGGGTCGAGTCCCGTATCGGGCTCAAGAAAGACTGCATTATCATTTTCGGTGATTCTTCAAATTTAGCAAACTATTTGGAAACGACAACACACTTCGAAGTGAGTTCTTAAGAAATACAGTATCTGCCGAAATAGCTCAGAAGGGAGAGCGTCAGACTGAAGATCTGAAGGTCCCTGGTTCAATCCCGGGTTTCGGCAAAACGACTTTCCTCAATTATCTGACCTTTTTCTTAATGATACTAAGGTATTTACTTAGAAGATCACGGTCTTATTGACGCATGAGATTCCCAACCTCCGTGTTGCCCGGTTAGCTCAGTTGGTAGACCATCAGACCTTTAATCTGAGGGCCATGGGTTCGAGTCCCATATCGGGGTCAAGAACGACTGCATTATCATTTTCGAGGTTTCTGCAAATTTAACCTGCTATTTGGAAAGGACATCACTCTTCGAAGTAGGTTCTTAAGAAATACAGTATCTGCCGAAATAGGTCAGAAGGGAGAGCGTCAGACTGAAGATCTGAAGGTCCCTGGTTCAATCCCGGGTTTCTGCAAAATGACTTTCCTAAATTATCTGAATTTTTTTGAAGATACTAAGATAATTACTAAGAAGATCACGATCTTATTGACGCATGAGATTCCGAACCTCCGTGCTGCCCGGTTAGCTCAGTTGGTAGAGCATCAGACTTTTAATCTGAGGGCCATGGGTTCGAGTCCCATATCGGGCTCAAGAAAGACTGCATTATCATTTTCGGTGATTCTTCAAATTTAACAAACTATTTGGAAACGACAACACACTTCCAAGTACGTTCTTAAGAGATACAGTACCTGCCGAAATAGCTCAGATGGGAGAGCGTCAGACTGAAGATCTGAAGGTCCCTGGTTCAATCGCGGGCTTCGGCAAAACGACTTTCCTAAATTATCTGACCTTTTTCTTAATGATACTAAGATAATTACTTAGAAGATCACGATCTTATTGACGCATGAGATTCCCAACCTCCGTGTTGCCTGGTTAGCTCTGTTGGTAGACCATCAGACCTTTAATCTGAGGGCCATGGGTTCGAGTCCCATATCGGGGTCAAGAAAGACTGCATTATAATTTTCAGGGTTGCTGCAAATTTAACAAGCTTTTTGGAAAGGAAATCACATTCGGAAGTACGATCTCAAGAGATATTCTACCTGCCGAAATAGCTCAGAAGGGAGAGCGTCAGACAGAAGATCTGAAGGTCCCTGGTTCAATCCCGGGTTTCGGCAAAACGACTTTCCTAAATTATTTGAATTTTTTTGAAGATACTACGATAATTACTAAGAAGATCACGATCTTATTGACGCATGAGATTCCGAACCTCCGTGCTGTCCGGTTAGCTCAGTTGGTGGAGCATCAGACTTTTAATCTGAGGGCCATGGGTTCGAGTCCCATATCGGGCTCAAGAAAGACTGCATTATCATTTTCGGTGATTCTTCAAATTTAACAAACTACTTGAAAACGACAACACACTTCGAAGTGAGTTCTTAAGAAATACAGTATCTGCCGAAATAGCTCAGAAGGGAGAGCGTCAGACTGAAGATCTGAAGGTCCCTGGTTCAATCCCGGTTTTCGGCAAAACGACTTTCCTAAATTACCTGACCTTTTTCTTAATGATACTAAGGTAATTACTTAGAAGATCACGATCTTATTGACGCATGAGATTCCCAACCTCCGTGTTGCCTGGTTAGCTCTGTTGGTAGACCATCAGACCTTTAATCTGAGGGCCATGGGTTCGAGTCCCATATCGGGGTCAAGAAAGACTGCATTATAATTTTCAGGGTTGCTGCAAATTTAACAAGCTTTTTGGAAAGGAAATCACATTCGGAAGTACGATCTCAAGAGATATTCTACCTGCCGAAATAGCTCAGAAGGGAGAGCGTCAGACAGAAGATCTGAAGGTCCCAGGTTCAATCCCGGGTTTCGGCAAAACGACGTTCCTAAATTATCTAACTTTTGTTAATGACACTAAGATAATTATTAACAAGATCACGATCTTATTGACGCATGAGTTTCCCAACCTCCGTGCTGCCCGGTTAGATCAGTTGGTAGAGCATCAGACTTTTAATTTGAGGGCTATGGGTTCGAGTCCCATATCGGGCTCAAGAAAGACTGCATTATCATTTTCAGGGTTTCTGCAAATTTAACAAGCTATTTGGAAAGGACATCATACTCTGAAGTACGATCTTAAGAGATATTGTACCTGCCGAAATACAGACGTGTGCTCTTCCGATCTGTCGTGTTTCCACACAATTTCTCGTTTTCCCAATTTCCACTCGTGTTGATATACATAACTGAATATCAACACGGAAAATGTTTTATATTTGTTAAATAGAAATCAAAATTCACATTTTAAAAGTGCATATTTTTTTCTGTGTTGGTGTTGTGTTCTCAAGTGAATATGATGTTTGTGATGTTACTCTGATTCCGGTATCGAAAATTGAAATTTTGTGTTTATTTTGGTATCGAAATGGGTATCGGTATCGACCGATACCGATCTTAAAAGTATCGGTATCGGTATCGAATTAAAAATCCTGGTATCGCCCATCACTATGGCGCACGCGATATTTTACAAAAATTCGAAAATTTGAAAAAACAACACGAGTGAAATTTCAACTGATGATTTTGCATTTTTAAGACGGCGATCAAGGAAATTAAATTGTTGGAAAAACTTCACTAACATCTCAAGTATGGAAAGCAGCCGATACTGGCAATTTAAGTACTCACTTCCGGTATCGAAAATTGAAATTTTGTGTTTATTTTGGTATCGAAATGGGTATCGGTATCGACCGATACCGATCTTAAAAGTATCGGTATCGGTATCGAATTAAAAATCCTGGTATCGCCCATCACTAGAATGCGACTAAGATAAACCTCATTAAGCTTCAGCCTTCATTATCTATTATCTTACTTGCATTTTACGCGACCGAAATTCAATGTCTAAAACAAGGCTTACGGAGTTACGCATTATTGCGTTCAACAAAGTGCCAGTCCATTCAAATTCTAATAAATTAGATTACTTCAATACAGGGTGTATAAAAAAAACGCAACCTCGGAATTTCCCAAGAAATCGACATTGTCTTAAGGTAATTCCGCAGTAATCTCATTACGAGTAACAGCAAAATCATAACAGCCCGATATTTATTGACGTTTTTAGCGCGGATTTTGCTTTAGTAAACCTATCTTGTATTTATTTTTAAAAAATGTTGTGTTTTGAGCAAAATGAAACTACTAACGTGTACAATTCTGATCCACAAATCTCTTTTCCAGGTTTCTTTACATATCTTTCTTTGAGAACATGCATTGATAAAAGATTTTTTTTTCAAGATCCAGAAATGATTTTTCTTTTAATTTTGGATATGAAATGTAAAATGCATTAAGGAAATAAATTATCAGTTAAAAAACGGGGGTCACCGATCTTTTTAGGGAATTGTGGCATTAAAACGTGAAATACAAGTAAATAAATATACTACAGACACAGAAACCTGTAGCTACACTTTTGTATGCCAGAAAGACTGC